TGATCTGAATGCATGAGAGCAAAGCATGTGGCATACCTGACTGTTTATCCGGGGCTTCTGGTTGGGGAACCTCCTGACTTGTATGGTGGGCACAATGTTGTCGATACAGGTACTAATGTACCCAGTCACATACTCAGCATAATCCTGTACGCTGACAGAAAAGTCCTCCAAGGTGGCTGCAGCTTTAAACACATCCCAGTCTGTCTGGGTGAAACAGTCTTGCAGGATGCCTTCAGTCTTTGGGGTCCAGAGTTTAATTTGCTTGGTGACAGGGTTTGTTTGTTTCAGTTTTTGTCTGTAAGATGGATACAGGAACAAAGAAATGTGGTCCAAGCATCCAAGGTGGAGGCGGGGTGCAGCCCTGTGTAAACATGATCCAGAGTGTTCTTGCCCCGTGTGGGAATGTTCACATGTTGGTAATATTTGGGGAGTACAGTCTTTAAATTGCACTGGTTAAAGTCGCCTGCAGCGACTAATACAGCATCTGGGTGCACTGTCTCTAGCGTGTTGATGACATCATAAAGTTTGCTGAGAGCCGCAGAGGGATTAACTCTTGGGCTAACATACACAGCAGCCAAAAACAAAACACTATGCTCTCTGGCTAGATAGTAGGGCCGGCATTTCAGCAATAAAAACTCTACGTCTGGCGAACAGTGCCCATAAAAAGTCCGTACTTCTCCACACCATGAGTTATTGATAAACACACACACACCACCTCCTTTTACCTTCCCCGAAGGTAAACTTCGAAGGTAAACCCCAAGGGTAAAATCAAGGTCAAAGCTGTGGAAAGTCAGGAGATGGGTACAAAGGGATTTCAAAATTAAGTTTATAATTAAGAAGTGAAAGGTGTTTGGTATGACCACAACTTTGCTTAGGTCAGGCTGTCTCACCAAACTTGACCGCAGAGCGAGGAGGAAGCTGGTCAGAGAAGCTACCAAGAGGCCGATGACATTTTTGAAGGAGTTACAGGACTTCATAACAAAGAGTGGTCGCTGTGTGCATGTGCCAACAACATCACAAGTGCTCCACAAGTCTGGCTTGTATGGGAGGGTTGCAAGAAAAAACATTCCTCTACAGCTCAGAAAATTACCACAACAGAAACCTAATGAGTGTCCTTTGGTAAATTATTCATTTAATTGCCAAAACATTGTAGAATTTGTACTTCCATTTGTACTTGTTCATTTGTAATCTAAACTGTTGTTTTAATATATTCTTCATTGAATTATAACAGTAAATGCGTATTTTAAAAACTAATATAGTACTTATAACTAGGTGTGCTGTATTCCACTTTCTTTCTTTGACTTGTAAATACTCCACAGGCCTACATGACATGATCCTATAGGAAAATAAGAGAGACTATGCGACTCACATGTTTTGCTTGTGTGTGACCACTGTTGATGGTGATTTTTTTTTAAGTCATTTGCAACACATTCAAACAGCTGAAGTGTATATTAACAAATGACTCTTTACTCTGCCCTTCTCAAATGCATCAACTCCAACTGTGACATTTCTTCAAACCCCTTCAACCGTCGTGTCTCATCTGACTTCATAGCATACTTTAATCAATAGCCCACAACCTTAGCATGTCCTCCATGTATTATGTTTAAAATATGAAACTTCCTATTGAGAACACACGCAGCTGTAGTCCTACTGACGGCCATATCAATAAAGTAAAGGCAAAAAAAGCACTGCGGGAAGGAGAGGTGTCTTCTCCTGAGGGGTATGGAGCACTTTAACAGCTGGGGCTCTCCCAGCAGTGTTTGTGATTTCTATGGGTGAATCTATCCATCAAAGAGTCTGTCATTAATCATTAATGTAGCTGTGGAATCTTTGAAAATACGGAAATGTCAAGTGGATATTCCTGAGACATTTACTGAAGGAATACCTGCAGTTAGAGTCATTTCAAAAGGAAGGACTCTGGTGGACCAGGCAAAAGGAGCCACGGGTGCATTTTCAAAAAGAGGGCTTTATTTACTCAAAATAAAAAAAAATATTGATTTTAAAATATACACTAAAGTTCTGGGCCCATAAAAGTTAACAGAATTAAACTAAAACAAACAGACTAAGCACACAAGGGAACATATACAATATATTGGCTGATCAGGCCATTTTGAAACAAGGGGGATAACAAAGACAAAAATTCACAAGTAAACTATAAATACCACAACACAGGACAGTTAATTTTATCAGTTTACATAAACTAACTCATAATACACAACAAACTGCCAAAAGTCCACTTCTTCCCCCTTGCTGTTAGAGCTCTTGGTCTGGTCCTTGGCTTGGGCCTCTGCATATAACCAGGCTCCACCTTCATTCATATCTTTTACCAGATCGGGAAGCAGGAGCCCAGGAAACTTAAAGACAAAGGATAAATTAATGTAACAGGTGGACAAACAAAGTTAACCAAACGTGTTCACTTCATCTAGTGACCAGTGTTGTGTCCAGTGTTTGAATGAACTAAAATCTAAACCAAACCAAGGGTTTTAAAAGTGACAACTAGGTGAGTGAGTGTGTGGAACTTAAACCTTGTGTGACTGTGGATATGGCCATCACAAGGACCTTGTGTCACTGATTCACTTGTGCTGGATATTTCTCAGATCGAAGATTAATCTTGCTTTAGAACACGTGGTAAGGAATATTTTAGTTGGTTATAAAAGTGTGCAGGATGTTTAAAAAAACACCAATGCACTGATGAATTAATAATTATAACTGATTTTATGAATTCACTTTTCTACTTTTCGCTGTTTGACAGGACACAAACATGGCGAGTATTAAACGCAATGTTCTATGGTTATATCAGTGTGAAGACATTTCCTCACAGTCTGAAAAAGTCACCAGCAGCTTGCTGATGCCAAGCTGATTCCCTCAGCTGAGAGACCCCCGCACATAAAGACACTTTCCAGTGTGTTGCAGTATGTGTGTGCATGCAGAAATGATTAATAATAAGCTTCAAAGCAAAACATGTCCTAAAGAATTTAAACGACATGAGCATGATAAAAGAACATGAAATTCCTTGGTTGTAAAACTGGATTAAATATGAAAAGAACTGTGCTTGCGCTCATGTGTGCGTGTGTCAGAGAGTGAAGAGGACCTGCTTTGCTACACTGGTCTCAGCGGCTGCTCTTCTAAGTTACCATTAAAGTAACATTTCCTCTCAGCTTGTCCATATTTCTCCATACTGAGACTGGCTCATTAGCACTAAGGACGCAATCTTAACCGCAGCCCTGAACACGGTCTAATGTACTGTAGCAGGCTCTCCAGCTGTCAGCAAACATTATTCACTTGCACTTCTGTGGTGCACACTCAGTGTATCCTGGGTGTGAAAAATTCCAAACATACCTGTGTTAAACTGATTTCTATATCTTATTCATTCACATTATTGTTTGTGTCCAGTGTGAAGAATGAACGAACAAACTGGCAAAAGCTCCATTCACTGAATGGCTGTGCGTCATCTCAGCAGCGCCAATAGCGCGTCTCCTGTGTGCCAACTATAAAAGCTGCTCTCCTCCGACTGTCAGACACTCCATCCTTATTACTTCGGCTGATAAACAAGTAGTCACTCATTTTGAACAGTCATACTTTTCATGCTTTCGTACATAAAGGCATAATGGATTTTAACTTAACGCTCCCTGCGCGCGACATCACCGGTTTGAGCGCTCTGGCGCGGACACTTTTTGGGAATAACTCTGAGTTTTCATTTGATAACAACACGGACGCTACTAAAATGGAGGCTGAAGACTTAGAAGTCAACACGGACGTTTACTCCAAAGTGATAGTCACTGTCATCTACGTGGCTCTGTTCGCTGTGGGCTCTCTGGGGAACTCCATCACTCTGTACACCCTGCTGACCAAAAAGACTCTGCAGAACCTCCAGAGCACCGTGCACTACCACCTGGCCAGCCTCGCTGTCTCCGACTTGCTGATCCTCGTACTATCCATGCCCATCGAGCTCTATAACTTCATCTGGTTCCACCACCCGTGGGTGTTCGGGGACGCTGTATGCAGGGGTTACTACTTTCTTCGGGACAGCTGCTCCTACGCCACCGCTCTTAACATCACCAGCCTGAGCGTGGAGCGCTACATGGCCATCTGCCATCCGTTCAAAGCTAAGAGCATCATGTCCCGCAGCCGCACCAAAAAGCTCATTACCGCCATGTGGATCGCGTCCTTCGCGCTCGCCACGCCAATGCTCTTCATCATGGGCCAGGAGATGCGTAAAGGCGAAAATATTTGCACCGCTATCGTCTCCACTATCACCATGAAGACAGTGCTTCAGGTGGGTATCGAGAAGTCTCTCTCACTGGTTTGTTTAGAGCCTTTACACAGACATGTCTCCAGGCCAGCTCTTTACGCACGATACTAATTAAAGTAGAGAATAATATAACTCTAGCGTCTCTGGCCACGAGTAGTAGGCTACATGAGTGGATGGTAGGTTGTATTTTTTTCACAGTGTATTTACATGTGTGTGCAATTGCGCATAACAAACTGTAACGCTTTACGCGCGAACGTGAATCCAAAATTGAGGTTTGTGCCTCCCGACATCTGGTTTTGTTTTCGTTTTGTCTTTTCTGGAAACCATAAGAGAAAAGGAATATTAGATCATACAGAGAAGAACATTTATTTCATTCATCTTTTACGCTTTGAGTTAGTGTCTTAAAAATTAATTTAGCCAGCGGGTTCTAAGTAATTCCATTCCACTGCAGGTTTATTCCTGCCAGGAAATTAACCAGACTCTCATCAACATCAACAACATAGTGGTTTGTTCTACTAAATTAATCAAATATAATGTGGAGCATTATCAGATCCTTAGTTCATAACATGAAAAATGATTTTGTTGACCAAGGTTAACATCGAAACCTAAAGGGAAGACGGCTATCAAAAAGTGAGCAGGTGATACAAGTGTGATGTTGGCTTAGCCAACATTATTGATATTTAATCCGTTATTTGAGAGAGGAAATTATTAGTTTGACCTTCAATCAATCACTGGAGACATTTTCAAGCAATAATGTCAAGGATCTGGTCCCAGCTTCACAAATGTGAGAATTTGTGGCTTTTTCTTGCTTAATATCATAACAAACAGAATATTTGTGAGGTTTTGCTTGTCACACAATTTGAATACAGCCACTAGTTGGCGTCTTTCATGTTAACTGGCAATACTTTAAGGTCACAGAGCTTTAATCATATGAATTTCTGAAAAATAGTACCAGGAAGTCATTGAAAACCCAGAAGCTTGTTTAGACACCATTTTCCACTCTTCTGAATCCTGGAGGACTCTTCTAACCATCTGGATAAGATAATACTCTTTTCATTGGACAAAAAACTAAAACTAGAGCCAACAAAGTTGACTCTGTTTCCTTTTTCTAACAAAGATAATAGAGATGTTTTAAAACAAAATCAAAATTTCATGATTTATATTGTTTATTTCCAATTTTATGTTAATCTCACACTTTTGAAACTGTCTTTCAACTGTCTCTTATGTTTTTATATTGTTTTATTTATTATTTTATCTAAATATCTGCTTTGACCTTTTGCTTTACCAGTTTGTCTTTTACTGTATGTAGTTTAAAGCATTGAACTATGTCAAGAACAGTGCTTTTTCAAATAAATATTGTTATTTTAGCAACATAATTAACTAGATTTGTCATGCTAGTCAGACCTAGTAAGTGCTGTTAACACTCTGGGTTTTTCAAAGATCCCTGGGTATTTTTTTTTTTTGAAAAATCGATGCTTTAAGCTCCATGACAAGAATGTAATGATCAGAATCAGCCTTATTGGCCAAGTCTGTTAACACACAATGAATTTGACTCCAGTACAGAGGCTGTCAGTGTGCTTTTGTGCAACAAGGAAAATTCTGTGTATTGAAATTGGAAAAAAAAAACGAAATAGCATAAAAAAGAAGGGCCAAAACCATGTATTGTAACAAAGGCTGAAGAAAGAAGCTGGAGACAGAATTTGTCTTTTTGTGTTCAACTGTGTGCCTCATACACCACACAACTCCACAGCGCCGCCTTTTATTATCAACACTCCTGCATTTTACATACAGGACGAAGCCCATAAACTCCACCAGACTCCTCAGTCATGGCGCTCTGCCCCAGCTAGCTAGCCCCCAAACAGAACTTGAACAGAAAAATAACTCACAGTCTCTGCCCCAGCAGGCCTGGGGGGCCCCGCTGAGCTACTCCACCTCGATGCTACGCAGCTCCCACCTCACTGGTTAACTGTCCTCAGTAACAGTCACTATAACATCCTTTAAGCATTGAGGGAGCTTGTGCTGAGCAGGTGGTGGGAAGGGGTCCGGAGATCATGGCTGGCTCCTGCTGTCTGACTCCACCCCCTCAAGTAAAGCTATGGACCAGTATGGTGTGAACCTGTCCCTGTGAAGCACCACCGGGTTGTGCTTACTCAGTCTCACCCTATGCGTTGCATCTGACAGTCTTTTCAGTACGGTACAGGGTCCACTCCACTGGCTCACTGACAAGCCCTTCTCCATCAAGGGCTGTACACCTATACCAGTTCACCAGGGACAAAGTTCTCTCATAGGCTGCAAGCATCCTGGGCCCCTGTCTGGCTGCCCCTGGTCCTGCTGCCAGGGAGTATGCAAGCGTTGGGTCAGCCTACTCCGAGCCGCACAGAAGCCCCCATCTCTGCTGGCAGGGCAAACAATCTCGGGGCTGCTGCCTGTCATGTGGCAGTGTCTCAGTCGCACCGACCACACTGGCACTTCTTCCTTTCTTCCTCGTCTGGTCTCAGTGCACAGCACCTACCCTGCCAGCAGTGTGGAAAGCCATGGCATTGCCCCAGCTACATCCACAACAGCACCCATTCTGCCTGCATTTCAAGGCCAATGATGCATGGTAGAAGGTGATGGTCTTTCTATCCATTGCTTTCACGCTATTTTGGCCATTCACCTGTTCGCACTCCCAATCACAGAGTTCAGTGTCTTGCTCAAGAGGTTAGGAATCAAACTGCCAACCATCTGGTTAGGACACAACCCATTCTACCTCCTGAGCCATAGCTGCTCAATGGTGTGGTCAGCAACAATCACTTTGAGTGTTCTCTCCCCCAGCATCTTTACTTTTTTTGTCAGTCACTGTGCAGTGTTTGGTGGCTCTCCACTTCCGAGGTCTTGGTCCTTCCATTCCCAGCAGTGTCCCCAGGCACACCAGCAAGATGGTGGAGGCCGTGTCCAACAAGGCACAATCATTTGGTGCCATTCAGAATGGTGTGTCCAACCAAGACAACTGACCCACAGCTGTGGAAAGGTCAGGGGTGGATGAGCTGTATGAGGGTGCTGGCTGTCACGGGGTCCATCTGCCACACCCAGTGCTTCAGCCTGGGGGTGCACAGTACATACTCATATTGCTCTGCCTCAGCCAGGGCTGTGGTCAGTGTGGATGATGTATAGATACGAATGTGCTCCTGGAGGCACTAGCCTTGAATGAAAGACTAAAGGACAAGCTATTCCAGCATGGCGTTATCAAACGTCAGGTACCCACGCCACACATAGAGGTGAAGATCGGCGGTGTGCATTTTTATAGGCGAAAGCTTAATCAAGTATATAGTCAGTAATGTAAAATGAGTCGGTGAGAAACAAAGAGAAAGACACTTCTTCCATACTCTGAGCACAGCAGCCCCATCATAACAAAGACTGTTTTTCAAGGCTGTCCCTGCCGTTTGGTTGTATAAACGATTAGATCAATCGCCCCAGCTTTGTATACAATGGACATTCATGGCACTGAATCAGACGTGTTGTGATTTGTGTTGTGTGAGAACTGGAAAGGATTAGTTGAAGTGTTCTGTGTGTCACTCGGCTTGAGACACAAGCATGTGACATCAGCTGGTATCAGTCTTGAGCTTTGGTGTAATCATTCATATGAGCATCCGCGCTGTCGTCTGCTGTGGCATCTGGTTATACACTCACCTGTTTATATAACTGCATTGATTTTTTTTCCTGTTGTTTGTCCTTCCATGTCTAATTATCCTTCTGTGTTTCTGCCTCTTCTATTCATCACAGTGCAAAGATGAACAATTCTTACTTACTGAGGTTTTTATTAAGGCAACAGGCATTTGAGAGCCAGGCTCCAGTAAATAGTCTGTGAGCAAAGAAACAGACAAGAGGTCTTACCCTATAGATATCACATGAGACTTTGTAGTATTATTATTATTAAAAGTAGAGACCAGAACAAGGATATGGACATCATATGACACACACTGACAAAGAGAAAGTCATCAGATGCTCCCCTAACATTTTATAAGTGTGTTTGTGAATATACAAAAAAGTTCACGTGTGTACAATGTGAAAGATACAGAATAAGCTGGTTGAGGAGGTGCCCTGCTGCTGTGTACGGTTCCCAAACCCTTTTGTTTTGACAACAGTCCAAGATACTGAGGTGAGAGGAGGTGTGTGTTTGAGTGCACTGAAGTGAAATGGAAAGATGAGGAGGTTACAGAGCAGGTAGAGCTGATCCTGGTTAAATTTGTAGGAACATGGCAGTAATGCCGCCATGTTTAGGAGTTCACTTAAAAATGCATTTCGCCAGAAGGCTAAATTTCAATTGCAACACTGTGTGTAAAACTACTTTAAATGGAAAAATGAATAATGCTAAACATCTATTTTTAAGCTTCTAAAACCTCTGAAGATGGGCTCTCTTTGGCTGCAAAAATCTTACTATTTAAAACATTTACACACTCTTTTTTTTCTTTTTTTTTACAGTAGTCCAGCCTGGAAGTAACAAATGCATGGACCAGTTTTTCAGCATCACTTTGAGACAGGATGCTCCTGATTTTTGCAATATTGCGCAGGTGAAAGAAGGCAGATCTAGAGACTTGGTTTATGTGTGATTTAAAGGACATATTCTGATCAAAGATGACTCCAAGGTTCCTCACAGTAGTACTGGAGGCAAGAGCTATGTCATCTAAAGTAACTATATGATTAGACAGCAGATTTCTAAGGTGTTCAGGCCCAAGCACAATAACTTCACTTTTGTCAGAGTTTAGAAGTAAGAAGGTGCAGGTCATCCAGGCCTTTATGTCTTTAAGACATGCTTGAAGTTTGACCAGCTGACCTGATTCATTTGGCTTCATAGATAAATATAACTGAGTATCATCTGCATAGCAATGGAAATTTATGTTGTGCTTCCTGATAATATTGCCTAAAGGGAGCATGTATAAAGTGAAGAGAATTGGACCTAACACAGAGCCCTGTGGAACACCGTGACTAACTTCAGTTTTTGTGGAACATTCGTCATTAACATGAACAAATTGAAATCTTTCTGA